TCTAGTTCTTACTAATGTAGCTCGAACTGGACCATAAAGAAGGTTGCCAACATCCAGGTGGGGGACAGAGTTTTCCCTGGAATTACACCTGATATCCAAACTAGAAAGATTAATCCCCCTGGAGAAAACTCTGGTTCTAAAGAGTGGACTCAACAACATCACGTCCCTGCTGGGCTCCCTCTCTTCTCCAGGCTTCCGCAGACTTGATCCCCAGATCTCCAGGAATTTCTCAGCTTGGAGCTGGCAACTATAGGCCCACAGGCAATGAGCCAACAGGCTGCTCATGCCTCGAGCGAATTCTGGGAACTGCAACTATGGGAAAATGGGAGCAGCTAATGGCTTGGGGGATATCTCACAACTGATCCAGTTCTAAATCAATTGGATTGTCATTTTATCGTGTGTCGTGTTACATGCTGTAAACGGCTCTGCACCTTGGAGAATGCAGTGAGATGCAAACTGACAAATCAATTAAAAATGTGTGAAGGGAAGGAGTTGTTATAGGGATCCCATTTGAACATATAAAATCATCTCAAGACGTCTGCATATGGTGATGGCACTTGATTCATGGCTTTTGACAGCTGGTGTCTGCTACCTGCTGCATAAGGCACATGCACTTAACAGTGAGTTGGGGAAACAGGTTGGCAAAAGAAATGCAGCCTGTGAAGGATAGAGGGGCATTTTTTAAAAGCCAGTTGAACAGATATGCTGCTACTTCTGGCGATGCTTCTTTAAAGGTTAGCACTGCTTGCCTGCCTGCTTGCCCCCTTCTCCCACTCAATGTGTATCAATCTAATTAAAGAAGTATAAAGAGTCTTTGGAGCTTCCTCTTTATGAGGAACCCGATTCTGTAAAATGTTGTTCCCGACACTTCTTAGGAGTCTTGCAAAAGAGCATGACATGGCTTGTGGATGTGTGCCACGGTCTCTGCTGCATGGCTGCAACATTGATGGACTGGCTGCAGTTTCCCATGGCTGCCTGTTTTGCAAACAAGTTCCATGAGATGTGTAATGGGTGTTTGTGGATGTATTGAGTTGTGTATTGAGCTGTGGGGACATTCCTGCAGTTTTGCCTGTTTTAAAAATTAATCTCTTTGGCTAAGTGACTGAGCAGCCCTCCCCTCCACTGTCAGCATTCCCCACAGTGGAAATCTTGGCCTGGACAACCAGTCTGCTCAGCAGGTATTTGCACCCGTCCCCGGACTCCAAAGAGCACCTGGCTGTTATTGCATCATACACAGAGTAAAAGGCTACTAAGCTAACATCCATACTAAAGCACTGCTTTTGGTGGGAACTGAGCATAATGACACTGTCTGCTTTTGGGATGTGGAGAGAGGCAATTGTCCTGAAGCTTTTCTGAACTGGGATCCACCTGCCTATGGAGACCCATTTTTCTGGTCGTAAATCAGGACAGCTGAAGCCCAAGTTGTTCTCTGTCATGTACTCATATTGATTTTGAGCACTGCATTTGAGTTTCCTTGATACTGAATCTGAAATCATTCTTGACACCAAGGATGTGGTTATTTTTATTTTATTTACTACATTTCCATGTTGCCTTTACCCCAGGAAACTCAAAGTGGTGGTAAAAGGTAAAGGTAAAGGTTCCCTTGCTCGAAAGCCAGTCGAATCCGACTCTAGGGTTTCTCCGTTTCAAAGCCGAAGAGCCAGCGCTGTCCAAAGAGATTTCCGTGGTCATGTGGCCGGCATGACTAAACACCAAGGCACACGGAACGCTGTTACCTTCCCACTGAAGTGGTACATTTATCTACTTGCAATTTCTTGCTTTTGAACTGCTAGGTTGGCAGGATCTGGAGGCTGGAACCAGAGACGGGAGCTCACTCTGTCATGCGGCACACTCGGGTCTCGAACTGCTGAACTACCGACCTTCCACAGCCTGCAGTTCAGCACCTTAACCACTTGAGCCACCGCAGCTCCCAAAGTGGTGGACAGCTCATTAAAAACCACAGAAAATGACTCAACAGTTTTGTTTTTGTTCTAGTTTCGGGAAAACACCACAAATAAGAGGCAGAGTCTCAGAGTAAGCATCTCTTAGCATGTACCCTGAACAGCTGCATAGCCCACCATTTTGCATGGCTCATGGCCCTGGTTTTCCATCCAAGGGGTAGAGGAAAGCCCCTGAGGTGTCACCAGCACTATTGTAGTTCAGCTTACTCCTGGTGTATGTGGTTAAGAGCAACACTTTTGTTTGCCTCACACCAATATCTCCACAGGTAGACTCTACAAGGTATTTTTTTACACTTGGACTGAAAAGGTTGCCTTCCTTGTGACAGAGTTTCACAAAATGATATGAGGGCTAAGGAAAAGTGGACAGAGACGTGTTTCTGTTTTACCATTAGGATGTAGGCTTTCAGAATTAAATTGATCAACACGATAGCGCCCCCCCCCGCAACCATTTGTAGTGATGTTTAAAATGTTTAAATGCTATTGCAGCTGTCACGTTCGGAGAGTCAGTGTGCTGTTGGGGTTTGATGTTTGCGGGGGAGGGGAGAAAGTAAGCCTGGCATATCACATCATAACCAAAGCCATTGCTCATGTTTATTATCACAAGTTTGTAATACTACAATTACGATTTAAAAGTAAATAAATAAAATTAGTACTGGTGGGGTATAAATCCATCTCCATCTCCTCCTCCTCCTCTTCTTCTTCTTCATTGCTATTCAGACCTCAGTATTAGCAATACTGTTTACTTTGCATGTTCCACGTTGGGCCTCTGACACTGACAGCACCTTTGGGGCCTCAGAAGGCCCCTCCCCCATGTGTGGGGTAGTGGTTAGCCTTGGATCTGGGGGGCTCAGGTTTGGATTGCTGTTGTGAGGATAAACGGGGGAGCGGAGAATGATTAAATAGTTCAGGTGGGATGACAGGGACCCCAGTCTCTTGTGTCTCAACCCTCCCCTCCCGGACCCGAGCACTCTAGCTCTGAAATATGCGGTAGAGGCAGAAGAGGACTCCGAGTCCTAACCGAGAGGGCAAAGCCCTGAAAGTCCAAGGCTAGAGCGGGGTAAGCAGCCCGGTACCATGCCCTTATCGGTGCCGGGTGCGGTTGATGCCCCAGCTGGTGTCAGCTCGTGCTGGGGAGAGGGCGGAGCAGGAGGCGGCCAGTGGCACGTCTGCAACACCCCCTTTAGGGTCGCCAGCTTTCCAGCCGGTCTCTGCTCCCGTACTTTGAGGGAAAAGGGTAAAAGTCGGATCTAAACGGATCCTCATGAATTCATATGATTTTTACACTGAAAGGAAATCAAACCGCCATCATATCATAGGCCATGTGTTAGTCTATAGGGGGCACCACAAAAATCACGATCCCACGGATTCGTGGCATCAGAACCTACTTTGAGCAACAGCCTCCGTGTGCTGGAATGTTATCAGGTCGCTCCCTATAGGGTCTGGGTAAAAGTAGTTCAAAGCGTCACCGGCTGATTTCCGGTAGCTGGAAGTCGCAGCTCACTCCTGGTGGGGACCCCGTAGGGTTTTCAGGGCAAAGACCAACAGAGGTGATTTGCCATTGCCTGCCTCTGCGTAGCGACTCTGGCCTTCCTTGGTGGTGTCCCATCCAAATATTAACCAGGGCTGAACCTGCTTAGTTTCTGAGACCTGGTGAGATCAACCTGGCCTGGGCCATTCAGGTCTAGACTGATTTCTGCACATCTAATATACCGTTAGAGGTACGGGAACTGGTGAACCCCCCTCCCCACCCTGGTAGATATGACGGCACCAATCCGCAGACAAACAGGAATGGCCAGTCGGGAAGGGATAGCCGTTGCTGCAGTTTCCAACATAAGGAAAAGCCTTGAAACACCGTCAAGGATAAGGAACTGAGTGCGGCAGAAGTGCACGTGAGCAGCCCAAAGCTTTTGCCACATTCTTTAGGCTTTAAGGTGCGACAAGACCACAGTTATGTGGGCGCGGGCCGGGGGCGGATGCTACTAAAAAGAAATTAGCAGAACAGAATTTTTTTAAGTCGTTCTTAGAGCAGTAGTTTGCTCCCAGCATCGTCTATCTAACCTTATTATACCTTCAACAGCTACTGGATCCCATTTTAGGACTTATTTTTTTATACTTAGCTTCCGGTTTGAAGAAGAACCGCGGAGTGAACTAAAATTTTTTTTTGTTCCGTGACGTTTTAGTTGAACGTTATTAAATTGCTTGTGCTACTGGCTGCCTGCAGTTGGATATCTTCACATTAGAGGCCCCCCCCTACCTTCGTAATTTGCCACTCATTTTTGTTTGGTCCCCTTCCTCGGTCGGCTGGCAACCCTAGAAAGCCCGTCATTGGAATGCCCTCTCTTGTGGCTTTGACGGTGAATCTCCTGTGGTTTTGGTTAGAGAGGCACGGATGGCAGATTGAAGTGCCAGATCAACAACGGGGACTTTCCTTCCCAAGTTTCCTTGCCAACTTTTAAACCCGTTTCTGCTCCTGTGGCAGCAATCTGATCTGCCTTAATTCGGAGGGGATGACATAACACTTAGCCCTGGAAAGCTAAGGTAAAGGTTTCCCTTACTCGACAGCCAGTCGAATCCGACTCTAGGGTCGCGGTGCTCATCTCCGTTTCCAAGCCGAAGAGCCAGCGCTGTCCGAAGACGTTTCCGTGGTCATGAAGCCGGCATGACTAAACGGCAAGGCGCACGGAACACTGTTACCTTCCCACCTATTTATCTACTTGCAATTTCTTGCTTTCGAACTGCTAGGTTGGCAGGAGCTGGAACCAGAGACGGGAGCTCACTCCGTCATGCCGCACTCGGGTCTACACCTCAAGGCACAAGAACAAACTAGGCTGCCCCCCCCCCCCAATCTGTTGACAACCCTAAAGGCTCTTCCACGCTTCCTCGTTTGCATTATAGATTTGCTCCGAGCCGCTGTCAAATCGGGTGGCAGAAAGCCAGGCGCTTCCCCTTTAAGAAAGAGGGCGTGGCTTGCGAGGCGGGGACAGCAGGGCCGGCCTGAAAGTCCCCCGAGCCGGCGGCTCTCACGCTGGGAGAAGTCAGTTAGAGCGGCTGCCGTGAGAGGGTAGAGAACTAGAGAGATGAGCGGACACGTCGGAGATCTGAGCCCGAAGCAGGAGGCGGCGCTGGCTAAGGTCGGGGATCGCAATCGCATCGCAACTGCTGACCCCCCGGGTGGGGGGTTCAGAACGAGTTTCGCCCTCTTTCTTTTCCTTCCTTCCTTCCTGGACCCAAAGCGGCTTACATCGTTCTCTGCTCCTCACTTTTATCCTCGCAACAATCCTGTGAGGTAGATTAGGTTGGGAGTGTGTGACTGGCCCAAGCCTGACATATGCTGGCTCTGAGCTGAGGTGATCGGCTGCATCAGTTCTCATAGGTGTGCTATCATGTTTTGTAACCTTATCTCTCTCTGTGCTGCTTGTTGAGTGTACAGAGGTTTGCTGTTGTGGGGTGTTGGGACATTTTAGTGTCATTATTATTATTATTTCTTTGGGCCTCACCACAGCCCTATGAGGTGAGTATTATCTCTTTCCTGCAGAATAAGGTGGTTTGCCTGCCTCCTGAGCTCATGATAGAGGTGAAAATGCAATTAGGGACGTTGTCTGTGGCTTTGGTCTCTGTGTAGCTCTTCTCTAAGTGGGAAGATCTTCTTGGAGTTTGTCTTTAAATCGTTTACCAAGTAGGTAACTTAGATAAGGATTGCCCCGCCAAATCAGACCAAAGGTCTACCTAATCCAGTATTGCTTTCAATATTAGTGGACAGGTCCAGGAAATTGCAGGTAAGGGGCATAAAAGCAGTAGCCCTTCAGCATCTGGTATTCGGAAGCACGTTGCCTCTGAACATGGAGGACTCGCTTGGCTCTTCTGGCTAATAACTGCCATCACACCTCTCCGCTATAAAAACACTCTTTTTTGTTTTTCTAAATAAGCTACCTAACCTAGTGCCTATATCTTGAGGTGGTGAATTCTATAACATATATTCTGTAACCTTGTTCTCCTGTTACAGTGTGAACGCACATATCTCCTGCCTGTGGTGTTGTTGTTGTTGTTCAGTCGCACAGTCGAGTCCAACTCTTCGCGATCCCCTGTACATCACGCCAGGCCCTTCTGTCTTCCATCGTGCCCCGGAGTTTGCTTAATTTCATGTTCGTTGCAAGAAAGAGCCAACGTGCCTTTGCTTTACCAATGAAACCAGGGACTTGAACTTGGATAAAAGTAGGGGTTGTATCACCCATTCAATTGTCTGTGGGTTGAATGTGAGATGAGAATTACTCCACACAAATTTAAAGAAAAATCAAGTGTGCACTGCATGTGGATTGTACACAAGTCTACAGTCTTATTTTCAATCTTTTTCCTAGTAAATCCTTGCACCTAACTTGCCTTAGTCATTTCTTCTACAAATGGAAGTGACGTTGTCATTCATCACAACCCTAACTTCTCTTTCCAGGTTAGCTAGACCCCATCAGCAGAAGGTGTATATGCATTTTGTTTATTGCTTTGATGTACATCATTTGAACTTGCTATGATGTGCATGGTATCACTTGGGAGGCTGGTCTTTGCCCTTTGCCAAGTGACCACATGCAATGTGTTGATCTGGAATAAAAAATGCATGGCTATCTAAATTCATACCTACATGTGGAAGAAAGCTGGAAGGCATTATGTGTGTGTCCTTCCAGCTCCCCATGTGGCAGATGCCCAAGAGTCTCAGGCATGGAGACAGAACATAAGAACATAAGAGAAGTCAATGTTGGATCAGGCCAATGGCCCATCCAGCCCAACACTCTGTCACACAGTGGCCAAAAATACCAGGTGCCATCAGGAGGTCCAGCAGTGGGGCCAGGACACTAGAAGCAACCCTGTTGTGAGGCAAAGTGGCCATCTTGCACAGAAGGTTTAGGGTACCATAAGGGTGGTCTAAACATTCGCTAGATCAAACCTCATTAGGATGGCTTTGTTTGGAGTGCCATTTCCAGGGGTCCTGAATAGCCATGCTTTTTCTCACCTCCCAGGGCTTGTGCAGGAGAATGTCTGCAGACTGTGCCCCATTTCAGTGATTGAGGTTTGGGTTTTGGGGTGTGTGTGATTTGTGGCACTCAAATGTCTTCGGCTGCATAGTGGAAGCTGGATTCAGATGGGCCCTATGGAAGAGTCACTCTGCCTATGGTCAAAAGTGCTCTCTTGTTGCCAGTTTCTCCGTGTCTTGCAATGTTCCTTTTTGGGCACTGAACAAAGTGAGCTCTGATGCCAGTTAACTTCAGGACGGGATGCCAGGACTTGCTTAATGGATAGGCTATTAGAACAGATTTGGAATGGTGAGGGAGCCCATTCAGCTCTCTGAAGAGAAAGGATGGCTTTCTCAAGTCTGTGGCCATGTGGAGCCTCTTTCAAAAAGGGAGCGAGAGAGTCCAAAATGCAGAACTCCTGTTGATTTTGTGAGGGGGAGGGGAGGGGGATGTTGGTGCCAATGTTGCATAACCACGCAAGTGATTATGTGTTAAAAGTATTTGAGCTGCTTTGCCACTCAGGTGCCGAGAATTCCAGGTGCCGGGTTGGCACATTAACAACATTAACAAGCATTGTTCTCCATAAAACCAGACAGTCTAGTGCAGCAGCAGCACAAAGCAAGCTTGAAAACAGCCTTAGCCGTCAGCACCATGGCCGTAGCCAGGATTTTGTAATTCGGGGGGGGGGCTTTAAATAAGTTGGGGGACACTGGCATTAACAGAATAAAAAATAAAATAAAAATAATTTTTAAAAAACTCACTTTTGCAGCGTTTGCAGTCTGCTTGCCTATGCGGGGAGGCAAGCTGCACTTGGGGAAGGGGCGGCAGTGGGGAGTCCTCCAGGTGGCCCAGAGAGTTTGGAGGGCCTGGGGGCTGCATAGATGTCAGGGGGCCTTGGGAGGAAGTCAGGGGGCCAGGTCCCAAAATGTCCCACTGTAGCTAAGGGCCTGATCAGCACCCTCAAAATGCCTTGAAAAACAGAAACCATTGTTGGCTCACAATAGAAACTGTCCGCGGAGGGAGCCGACTGGAGGGAGGAGCTTCTATAAAGTGGGTGCTGCAGCAAAGGAGATCTTGATCTTGCCGCCCTTCACCATGCTAAAAGAAATAGGGAATCAGGGCACCTCAGTGAGAAGGGGAGGGGCAGGTGCAAAGTGGCTGGCATCTTTCAGAACCATTCTTTCCCTGAAACTTTGAGGAAGGGCAGAAATGAACACATATAGTGTAGGATGTAGGGGTAAAGGCAACACCTGATCCACCTCTTGCAAACCGAAACAATGACTGAGCATTTCTTCTGTAAGCTGGAATCCTGCAGCACTCTGCAGGGTGTCCCCCAGGGGATGATTGACAGAGGAGCTGGCAGCACCTCCACTGGGGGAATGGCGTTGCTCAGAAACTAGCAGCAGGGGAGGCATGTTCTTGGGGCTTGCATAGTGGGGAGGGCAAGCTGGCTGATTGTTGTTTGGAGTGTATTTAGGGCTCCCAGGGGACAGAAACTTCCTGCTGGGCTGCACCCAGCTCTTGTAAGCCTGATGCCACCGTCAAGGCCAAGAGGGCAATCTTATTTCTGCGGTAACAAAGCATACCACATTGTCAGTCTCTGCTTCCCTGTCCCCTTCTGCAGTATGGTCTACCTTACAAGATTGCTGCAGGGGGGTTGTGAGGCCAGGGAGAAGGGTAATTGACTGGCCGTCTCCCTGGATTTTGCAAGACCGAACCGGGAATGGTTTAAAGCATGTCTGACATGATGATGACCTCGTTGATATACCTGCCAAAGTAAGAGCCGTGGTGGGTAACAGTATGTTGGAATGATAATGCAACACAATAGAACTACTGCAAATAGTGCAAATCATGCAAATTCTAATTTGTATTAATGCAACAATATTGAATCCAATCCATTGTACACTTATGTTTTACAAAAACAATGGATTGGATTCAATATTGTTGCATTAATACAAATTAGAATTTGCATGATTCGCACTATTTGCAGTAGTTCTATTGTGTTGGTTTATGTCATACTGCAACCCCCTTCATTTGTTGTGATCATGGAATGATAATGCAGGCAGAAAACACATTTCTTAAAAAGAGCACAATGGAAGAAGAAGAAGAAGAAGAGATTGGATTTATACCCCGCCCTTCACTACCCAAAGGTGTCTCAGAGCGGCTTACAAACTCCTCTCCCTTCCCCTCCCCACAACAGACACCCCGTGAGGTGGGTGGGGCTGAGAGAGCTCTTGACACAAACTGCTCTTTTTCAAGGACAGCTGTGCCAGAGCTTGTGACTGACCCAAGGTCACATCAGCAGGTGCGAGTGGAGGAGTGGGGAATCAAACCCGGTTCTCCCAGATTAGAGTCCGCGCACTTAACCACTACACCAAACTGGCTCTGCTGCAGAATGAAGACCAAGATGAGAGCGCTTATCACTCTCCCTCACTGATGTTGGTGTGGTCTTCACGTTAGCTCAGAACTCACCCTGCAAAAGGGTCTTGTGGACAAGGCAGAGTTTTGCCGCAACATTCCAGTGAAGAAGAGGCATAGCACTCTTACCAGCATGACACACTTATTTCCTGCTTAAACTGAGCTGAGAGTACCTCAGCTGTTGCCAAAGTCTTGTTCCTCCAGTGAGTGCTGGGATTTTCAAAGTACCTGAATAAGAGATAAGAGGGGCAGGTGCTTAGCAGGTATTACCCTGTGTGGCCCAAGCTCCCAGATTCCTTTATGTCTCTGGTGGCCTCTGAGCTTTTTCGGTATCCCAGGGCAGATGATGCGCATGGAGCCCTTTAAATGCCTGGTAGTGGTCCACACACACAAAATGTCACATGCTCATGATTGTTGGAGCTCCTATCCTGTTTCCTGCAGGTTCAGGTAATCAAATGAGGAAAGGAGGTGACTGGGATGATGATGAAGAAGAGATTGTATTTATACCCCGCCCTTCACTACCAGAAGGAGTCTCAGAGTGGCTTACAATCTCCTTTCCCTTCCCCTCCCCACAACAGACACCCTGCGAGCAATGCTTCCTCTAAGCTGTGGAAGTCTTGTGAGCAAAAATTCCACTTTGTGAGCTACTGGCATTAAAGTTGTGAGTGAGCGATTTGGCTGCTGCATAAATTAGTTTGCTCTGGAGCCCTCCT